TTAAAATAAATAAATAAAAATTTAAAAAGTAAATGATGTAGAAGAAATTTGCTAAAGAAATCCTATAGTTTACTTTCATAAACCAAATGATAACTCTCTGATTTATTTTGTTAAAACTAGAATTTTCATGTAATATAATAAGATCTTAAGAATATTTATCATATTTTGGCCAACTTTTTCTTTTTGCCTTCCCCTACGGAGTTCTGAGGGAAAATTTATTAAAGTACATTGGTGACATTGTTTCCAAAATAAAGAGGAATCATTTTTCCAGTTTGACTTATTAGCCCAGAGAAGCTGGTGTTACAAGTGTTACTGAGACAAATATTTGCTAAAGTTTTGTTCTCACTCTTGCTGTGGTAGAACATTGTGTCCATGCACTGAAATGCCAGGTGTAGACAAATGGCACATTCTTCAGACTTGGGAAGTTGGTAATTTGCTAGAATATCTTGATTTTTCTTGATTTAACCATGCATTAGGAAATGCAGTAAATAGCGTGAACAATATAGACTTAAAGTTCACTGCACATAACAAAATTGCTAAAACTTACTCAGCATTTACTATTGGTTTCCTTTATTAAATATTTATTGGGCACTTTGTGCCCAGAACGGTTCTGGGTGCCAGCAATCCAATTGTGAACACAACAGATAAAAAATTACTATACTCTGGACTTTTCATTTTAATGGCACCATTCTTGGTATATTTTATCTTATGTAGTTGTCAAAATTGTCCCCATTTTTCAGAGAAAGAAACTGATGCTTCGAGGGTAAGTGTCATACTGGAGCTAATAAGTGGCAGAGCCAGGTCTCATATCTGAGCAGTCTGGCTCCAGATTCTGTTCTGTTCCATGAAACTGTGAGCTGGTTGCCTAGTTAGTTTCTAATTGACCAAATCAGCGAGCAGTTACAGAAGTCATATGTAGTCATAGAACTATATATACTTTGGAATAAAACTAAATGGAATAGGGAGAGCAAAAAACTTTTTTATTCAGAAACTCAGATGAAAAGAGTTTGAGAACTCTTCCCTCAGTGTCTGTAAAGACTGTCTTTTTTTTCTGGAAAGACAGCAAGTGGCACATTGTTTCTCTTCTGTATTCCAGCCAGAAAGAGGAACCAGATGTCTAACTCCCCAGCTAATACTTCTTAATTATATAAAACGATACTACTTAACACAGAAGCAGTATGTTGTACTGGTTAAAACAACATAGGCTTTAGAATCAGGGTGGGGTTTATTTTGGCTGTGTGGCATGTGTTAACCTAACCACTAATCTTCAGTTTCCTCTTCTGTAGATAATAGTCCTACTTAGTGCATGAGGTCATTCTGATCATTAAATAAGAATATCAGTGCCTTGGGGCGCCTGGGTGGCTCAGTCGGTTACGGTTACGTGTCCGACTTCCGGCTCAGGTCACGATCTCATGGTCTGTGAGTTCGAGCCCCGCATCGGGCTCTGTGCTGACAGCTCAGAGCCTGGAGCCTGTTTCAGATTCTGTGTCTCCCTCTCTCTCTGACCCTCCCCCGTTCGTGCTGTGTCTCTCTGTGTCTCAAAAATAAATAAACGTTAAAAAAAAAAAAAAAAAAAAAAAGAATATCAGTGCCTGATACATAAAATAGTTCTCTGAAAATTTATTATGGGGAAATTTTTCTCCATAGTGAAACATTAATGTGAAGGTTTTTTCCTCCCAGTTTATCTGTTTCTCTGCAAGTCTAGTTTATTCTCTGTTCAGTAAGATCAAGGGTCGCTGCTCATGATTGAAAAACCCCATTATAAACTGATGTATCTAATTTAAACCTAGAATGTGTTAGAGCCTAGCATGGAGCTGTTTACAACTGTTAGCTTGTCTTTTTTTTTTTTTTTTTTTTTTTAATTGTGGGCACCCTTCTGCGTACTTCCCTGCCTCTAATCCATCAGCAGGCTGGGTTAGTTTCACCTCCCATAAATTTGGTGCATAAATTTCAGTCACCACTGCTATGGCTTAAGTACCCATCACCATTTGCCTAATGTGCTAGCTGGTGTCCCAGCTCTTGGCCCTTCTAATCTGTTCTACCCATGCTAGTCAGGGTGATCTTTACAGAACATTGATATGATCATATCCCAAGCTTGCTTGAAACCTTTTCATGGGTTCCCATTGCTGTTAGAGTAAATTCCAGTCTTCTAACGCTCTCTCTGAGCTGGCCCTTGCTTACCTCTCCAGTTTGATCTTTTACCATTCTTCCCCTGCCTCATTCCTTCTACTACACCAGCCTTGTATCATTTCTCAGACTGTGTTCTTTTTTGCTCTAAGATTGTGTTGTCCAGTTTGCTAGGCACACATGGCTGTTGAGCACTTCTAATGTGGCTGGTGTGACTGAGCAGCTGAGTTTTTAATTTAACTTAAATTTTTTTAACGTTTATTTAATTTTTGAGAGAGAGACAGAATATGAGCAGGGGAGGAAGAGAGAGAGGGAGACACAGAATCCGAAGCGGGCTCCAGGCTCCGAGCTGTCGGCACAGAGCCCGATGCAGGACTTGAACTCACAAGCTGTGAGATCATGAGCTGAGCTGAAGTCAGACGCTTAACTGACTGAGCTACCCAGGCGCCCCACTTAATTTTTTTTTTTTTTAACAGAGCAAGCAGGGGAGTGGAGCAGAAGGGCACGGAGCCCAACACTGGGCTCCATCCCACGACCCTGGGATCATGACCTGAACTGAAATCAACAGTTGAACACTCAACCAACTGAGCCACCCAGGCACCCCTTAACTTAATTTTAATTAATGTAATTCTAAATCTCCATACGTAGCTGGTGGCTACCATATTGGACAGTACAGCTTTAGGGTTTCAGCATGTGCTCTCCTGCTTGCCTTGGAGCACTCTCTTAACTCTTCGTGGCTAATTGCTACTCACCCATCATACTGAAATCTATTTCTTCTGCAGGGAGGCCTTTTCTGACCCATCAACCTAAATTAGGAAATCTCGTGTTATTCTGTCTCATAGCCCCTGTACTTTTCCTACATAGTACAGAATGACAAAGTGGCATTGTTCGTTTTTCCAACTTACCTGTTATCTCCCCACTTAAAAGCAAGGTTCATGTCTCATTTGTTACCAGTGTATAACCAGCTTCCAGCACTGGGCCTGGCGCGTAGTAGGTTTTTGGTACATCCAATGAATGAACCTTCTGAAACGTCTGCATTTTCAGTTCTTGGGAAAAGTTCACAGAATGGTGTCTCTGTCTGGGCACTGTCACATTCTGAAAGGTCTCAGAACAGATGCGTTCTAGGCGCTGGTGGAAGAGGCACAGGACCTATATGTAGGTGTCTGTCTTCGGGAGGTCTTAGGTGTTGGTAGATGTAGTGCTCTTGCAGGGATACAATGTAGGTTTTTTAGGCTGTGCCTTATGCAATTTGTTACATGTAAGCTTAGACCTAAGTTCCCCAAATGATTAATTGCATATATCATCTCAAAGCATTGTGCCTGATAAATAATATTTATATTATATATTATATATTTCTATATATACTTATACATATATACATATAATTATATTTATATATATATAAATAGTATTTGTTCAGATGCTAATTGACAATTCTTTGGAAACTGCAGCATTATAGCATAATGAGATAAGAGAAGTTTCTGCTTCACAGGCTTGGGTGGAGGTGTTGGGGAGCAATCCTGGAGGTCGTTAGACAACACTTATAAACACGAGTTGTTTTAAGAGGAAATTTTGGGGGTGCCTGGGTGGTTCAGTCAGTAGAGCATGCAACTCTCTCAGGGTTGGGAGTTCAAGCCCCACGTTGAGCGTAGAGCGTATTTTAAAAAATATATAGCAAATTTTGAATAGGGCAACAGATTCCTCCTCCCCCTGCAAATTTTCAAAAATGACCAGAAGAGGGCCATGTAGGTGGCTCAGTCAGTTGAGTGTCCAGCTCTTGGATGTCAGCTCAGGTCATGATCCCAGGGTCATGAGATTGAGTCCTGTGTTGGGCTCCACACTGAGCATGGAGCCTGCTTAAGATTCTCTCTCTCTGCCCTTCTCTCTTTCTCTCTCTCTCTCTCTCTCTCTCTCAAATTAAAAAAAAAAAAATTCAGGAATGGAAACAATTCTGAAGTAAAAGCCCACTTGTAACTGATGGTTTATTAGGCACTATCTGATTTTTTTTTTTTTTTTTTTACCCAGTTTGACTGCAGTTCTTTTGCTGGTCTTAATGAGTCGTGTCTGAAAAGGATTGTTTTTCCAAGAGCTTAGCTGTTTCTGGAAGAGAGGAAATAATGGTGGTAGGGGATGGGGAGCAGGAAGGAGAAAGTAAGCATGGTTACTTTTTGAAATTGTGAGAACATTGGAAAGGCAGAGTTAGTTCCATGATGTGTAATTACACGTTTATAGGTGGATTCTGAGGAGCCAGTCTTTGAAGCTGTCATCAACTGGGTGAAGCACGCCAAAAAGGAGCGAGAAGAATCCTTACCTGACCTGCTACAGTACGTCCGGATGCCCCTGCTGACCCCCAGGTACATCACAGACGTCATAGATGCTGAGGTAAGTCAGGCAAAACACACGGGATTGAAAACCATGAGTATCTCTTGCAGCTTAGTATTATGTACTTCAAATTGGTTATTCACTGTAGGCACAGAGTCTCCTGGTTAGCGTCTCTAGGAGTGCCAGAGAGGATGGTGCTAGGTGGTCTCCAGATAATTGGTTGGCAAGTTATCCTTCTGGAAATGGAAATCTATGGTTTAATTTTCTGTTTTCTTGTCTTTTTGTTTGCTATGCCCCTGTGTTTCACGTAAGCAACATCAGATGACAAATGTCCCCTTCTCCATCAAACATAAATTGTTCCAAATTGCCCTGAAAAAGATGCTTTGCTTATCAAATGTCTTTATTTTTGACCTCTTGTGAAACCCAACACCAAAGTAATTTGATGCATTCTTATATGAATTTAGGTTATACTGTGTGTGTTTATTTATTTTTATTTACTTACTTGTTTGTTTTTTACGGTGTTTATTTATAAAAGTGTTTCTCCAACACAAGCTCTTTGTGTGTGGTATGTTTTCACGGTTTTTACCGTATGTATCACCTGTTTACCTGGACTGTACTTTGGGCGAACACTGCTGTTTAGCACATAGGTAAAGCCCAGGTCAGTGAATGCATTCCTTCCTCTGGCCCAGCCTCAGACCTCTTTGAGAGTTAACTACAAACACAGTTTTCCAGTTCACATTAGAAAAGTTGCAGGCTGATTAGTGTCACATGTCAAACTCACTTTCTCATATTTGTAATTTCTTTCTAACAATTCATATTGCCGTTGTGTCTGTTTCCTTATATTGTGGTTCACAGCCCAGACTCTCGAGTCAGACTCAGGAGACTGAAATCCTATATTCACCACTCATCCTGGAGTGGGGGAACCTGGCCTCACTCCCCTTCTCCCTCTGAGCTCCTCTAGGGCTCCTCACTGGCTGAGCCGAGCCAGAAGTCAGAGGGCGTGGGGACCCTACGACGTAGTTCACGTAGGCCAGTCTTCCAAGCCAGAGAGTAGAGTGAAGAAGGATGTGGAGTGAATTAGGTTACGAAGGAGAGCTGCCCAGTACAGAGCTCCATCAGGGGAGACCTAGGCATCGTGACAGTGTTGTGAACATTTGGGAAATTATTGCAGGCAAGATTTACTTCTCCCTGTCATCCCAGGAATTAACAGTAGCCTTTTGGTTTTCCCTTAAAATTTTTGTTAGCTATTACATACTTGTGTTTGTGTAATCACTGGAAGGATGTACAGACAAACTAATTAAAATAGTTACTGCCTAGTGCCGAGGTAGATAGGGAATACTTCTCAGTATATCTTTTTATGTCATTTGATTTTTGAACCATGTAATAATATATTGTCTATTAAAAAAATTTTTTTTAATCATTTCTGGAAACCAGCAACGTAGTTATTACCAGCAGCCCTCTTGGAACCACAGGGCTTTATAAACTGGTTTTCGATATCAAGAAGTGAATTCTTATGTGTGCCATTTATACTCGTAATATTAAAGACGTGACCCCTGTGGCTCACTTTACTGCCTGCTGTATTTCAGCCTTTCATCCGCTGTAGTTTACAGTGCAGGGATCTAGTTGATGAAGCAAAGAAGTTTCATCTGAGACCTGAACTGCGAAGTCAGATGCAGGGACCCAGGACGAGGGCTCGTCTAGGTAAGCCGGCATCTTGGCAGAAGGAGGGATATTTTTCAGCTACCCCTTGCCAGGTGGCATGATGTAGTTGAAAAGAACATTCTGTAAGAAATACAAAGACCTGTTTTAGACCTGTTTTTAACTTTTTAGAAAGGGTGTCACCTTGGACAAGTCACTTTGCCACCCTGAGCTCTACTATAAACCAAGGATACCTTCCCTATCTATTTCCCGTAACTATTTGGAGGATTAAATGGTATAGAGTGTGTAAAAGCACCTTCTAAATTGTAAAATATTATGCAAGTTATTATTTCAGGATGTTTGGAGTCTTGTGAATTAGAAATTATTTCAAATACCAAGTAGTAGTTTTCTCATTCTGGATGAAAAGAGGAAGGAAAGGCAGCAGCATAGTATAAAATTCAGGAGTGACATGTAGTACTTAAGAACCTGGAGCCTGCACTCCGGAGCCGGTGTGGGTGCAGATCCCAGCTTACCACTTACTAGGTGTATTAACTTTGGCAAGAAACTTAACCTCCCTGTGCGTCAGTTGCCTCCTCTGTAAAGTGGGCATCATCACAGCTCCCGCCTCAGAGGTTGTTCTGAAGAGTAAATGAGGTAATGTATGTAAAAGGGTTAAAAGAGTTCTTGGCACATAACAAGTGCTGTGCACATTAGCTGTTGTTTTAGCAAGGAGGCTTAGGTGCAGATCTCAGCCCCACCAATGACAGGCTGTATGGCCTTGGGTAAGGTATCAGTTTATCTGAGCCTGTGCTTCTGCCTCTAAAGTGAGGGTCCGAGCATCTTATCTCACTGTGTTGTTACGGAGATTAAACAGGATAGTGTATGTAAGATGCCTGACATTTTAGCCGACAGGTGGTAAGACTCAGATATTACCTTACTTCTGTTTCCTGTCCTCCCTATTTTGCTGTCGTAGGTTATAAATGATATATGGGGTGGCATTTTGTTTTTGTTGCTTTCTGTTTTTCCCCTGACTGTGGACTCAGGCCTGCCAACGTATTAAATTATAATTAAGCTGTTCACTGATTGCTTTAAGTAGAATGATGATTTGTCTCCTATATATATGCTTTTAATTTAAATCCAAGTTCGTTAACATCTTGTAATAATGTTTCAACGTCCCCTATATTTTTGATGGCATAAGTACCATATGTCAACATAGAAATTTTAGAAACACAGAGAAGCAAAAAATAAATAAAAATCATCCATAATCCTACCACCCAGAGATGTTGCTTTGTTTGGGGTTTTGTTTTTTTTTCTTTTTTTAAGGGGACTCAGAGAAGAAGTAGTAAATGATACTGTTCTACTAATTCCTGCAGGATGACAACATGTGGTCTGTATCTCATACTATATACAGGGATACATACTAATCAACAAGACAGATTGAAGGACTAAGCATGAAAAACCATGGTAATATTAGACGTTAGAGGAAAATATTTGTATAACTTTTGGGTGGGAGCCTTTTTTTTTTTTCTAGTTTTAGTTGTGGTAAAATTTACCGTCTTAACCATTTTTAAGTGTACAGTTCATTGATGCCTGGGGGGCTCAGTCGGTTAGGTGTCCAACTCTTGATTTTGGTTCGGGTCATGATCTCACAGTTTATGGGTTTGAGCCTTGCATCGGGCTCTTTGCTGATGTGTGGAACCTGCTTGGGATTCTCTCCCTCTCTCTCTGCCCCTGCCCCCTCTCAAAAATAAATAAACGTTTAATGTATATATATATTTTTTTCACATTGTTCTACAACCAATCTCTAGAACTCTTTTCATCTTACAAAACTAAAAAGTCCATACCCAGATGGTAGCCACGCTTGTGGTGAGTGCAGCATAATGTATAGAGTTGTCAAATCACTATTTCTGCACCTGAAACTCATGTAGCATTGTGTGTGAACTATCCTCAAAAAAAATAAATAAATAAACCAAGAAAAACACCCCAGGAACCATATAAATCAACAAGAAAAAAAAAAAACAACACAATAGAAAATTGGCATGAAAGACTTATAGTAGCCCACTGAAGCTGAAATACAAGTGAACAATGAACATTTGAAAATATAGTTCATTACCAGGTCTAGAAATGAAGGTTAGAACAAGTTATTTTTTAAGTTTGTTTGTTTATTTTTGAGAGAGACAGAGAGTGCAAGCAGGGAAGGGGCAGAGAAAGAAGGGCACAGAAGATCCAAAGCGGGCTGTGTGCTGACAGCAGAGAGCCCCATTCAGGGCTCGAACTCATGAACCATGAAATCATGACCTGAGCTGAAGTCAACACTTAACTGACTGAGCCACCCAGGCGCCCCTTAGAATAAGATATTTATTGAAGTGGAAGATACTAAAAATATTTCCGGGCGCCTGAGTGGCTCAGTCAGTGGAGTATCTGACTCTTAATTTTGGCTCAGGTCATGATCTCAAAGTTTGTGGGATTGAGCCCTACATGGGGCTGCACTGAGAGCGCAGAGCCTGCTTGGTGTTGCAAACTGTGAGTCTGGAGTTCTCTCTTTTCCAGCAAGAGAGCGGATGCAGAATTGAATACAAAAGAGGCTATTGCCCGGGAGGAGACAAGAGCCCCTAACAGGGCTTTCATCTCCGTATTTATTGAGCGCTCAAGATCTTGCACGTGGTGAACATGAAGAAAACAATCAGATAGTAATCATTAACTTGTGTGTGTAAGAAGCAAAGGGTCTGGGGGAGCAAGTGGAGTTTGTTAGCAAGGTACATTGGCACTAGATGGAAAGTAATTTCCTGCAGGTGATATAACAAGCTGCTCCTGATCCCATTACAGTATCTTGCTAGCTAACCTTAGGCACTTTCACCCTGTGGTGGTAACTTTCCACCCTAAGCTTTTTTCTGACCCATTTATGTGAGTAGAACCTATTTCCCCCACAGCTTGGGATTCTCTGTCCCTCCCTTCCCCTCTCTCTCTTTCTCTCTCTCTTTCTCTCTCTCTCTCTCTCTCTCTCTCAAAATAAACTTTTTTTTTTTTTTTAAAGTGAATACTCTTTATGTCCCATCTGGGAATCTGTACTATAGAAATATTTCCAGGATGGGACGTCTGGGTGGCTCAGTTGGTTAAGCATCCAGCTTCTGGTGCATCCAACTTCTGTTGAGATCATGATCTCCCTGCTTGTGAGTTAAAACTCCGCATCAGGCTCTGTGCTGACATCTCGGAGCCTGCAGCCTGCTTTGGATTCTGTGTCCCCCTCTCTCTGCCCCTCCCCAGCTCACATTCTGTTTCTTTCTCTCTCTCTCTCTCTCTCTCTCTCTCTCTCTCTCTCTCTCTCTCTCTCTCTCCTCTCTCTCTCTCTCTCTCAAAAATAAATAAAACATTTTTTAAAAATTAAAAAAAAAAAGAAATATTTCCAGGAAAAAAGGGAAACAACCTGAATTCCATCTGAAGAAGAATGAATGGTTGACTGAATTATAGTACAACTGAAGCATAGAATATTATGAAACTATTAAAAGCATTGAGTCAGACGTGTGTAGCTGGACAGACTAACTGGGTATATACTAAGTTGGGGGTACTTTTCATTGGGGAAAAAAAAGGCAAAAACTCCGATATATGTACTATATACGTATATGTTTTCATGACTATAAACAAAGGATATGTATGCAAGGATAAACACCTTTAACAAGATGGGATTTCAGGGGAATATTTTTACCGTTGCTTTATTTATATACTTCTGTGTTATTACCATAAATGTGCGGTTACCTTTGTTATTTAAAAAATAATAAAAAATAGATATTCTTTCAATATTATGTGAGCCAGTATATAGTGGAAATCATCTGGTACAGAAGAAAAGACACTTTGCTTCCTTTGATTTCGACTCCCAATGCTATTACTCTAGTAACTTGCTTTTTGAATCTGGACAAGTCCTTTAACTTCTCTGGATTACCATTTCTTCTGTATATCAGGGGAGTTAAATTCAAACCACTGAGGTTCTTTCCAATACAGAAGATAACATTTCTTTTTTGCAGAGCCAGTGTCCCAGAGAGTACTCAATAGCACTTCCTAGCTGCTTGTTAAATTGAACTAAAGCCAATGAAAATTTGTGTGAACCAGCAAACCAGAAGACTTTTTGGAGATAGATTTTCTGCATTTCTCTGTACTGGCAGGAGAAGGTGCCCGCCTGCTTAGAGAACTTGCTTATTGCCCTGATCTTGAAAGATTAGGATTCTACATGCCCTTATAATTTTGAGGTTATTTTTCAGAAGTTCCAGAAAAGAAATTCTGAAGCTATTTCTAATTCCCTTTTTTTTTTTTAATGTTTATTTATTTAGTTTGATAGCAAGAACGAAGAGAGGCAGAGAGACAGGAGAGAGAGAATCCCAAGCAGGCTCCGTGCTGTCAGTGTAGAGCCCTATCAGGGCTCAGACTCATGAACCGTGAGATCATGACCTGAGCCGAAACCAAGAGTTGGCCGCTTAACCAACTGAGCCATCCAGGCACTCCAAGTAGATTCTTTTTTTTTTTTTTTAATTTATTTTTAAGAGTGCGCGCGCGCGCGCACACACACACACACACACACACACACGGGTGGGGAGGGGCAGAGAGAGAGGAAGAGAGAGAATCCCGAGCAGGCTCTGCACTGTCAGCTCAGAGCCCGACTCAGGGCTTGATCCCAGAAACTGTGAGACCATGACCTGAGCCGAACTCAAGACTCGGATGCTTAACTGACTGAGCCACCCACAAGCCCCTCTTCTTATTTTAGCATCTCCTTATGAGCGCCTTAGGAAGTAAATTGTTCCTGCCTATCATGTCTTCTGCCCATCTCTATTCATAGAGGTTGCTAAACCAGCTACCAGGATAACTCTTCTGCATACAGCATAAGGAAATTAAATTTACAGCTACATAAAAATAGCTTGCCAAATCATGTGTGAGGATTCTCTTTTAGTTATTTACCTCTTAGCCATTACTTTCTCACAGAAGATATAATGGAAATTGCAATTCCTAATTTGTCACAGTCTCCTTTTCTGAGCTAAAGATCAATACGTATGGCAATGTAGTCTCTGAACCGTGTT